AAAAAAAAAAATCTTTTCCGTTACTAAAAGGCAACCCCTTCATCACAAGAGAAACAGGAAAAACTGAGATTTAGTTGTAGAAAGTGATCTCCACCAGAAAGAATTCATAGTCCATAATGTTTCAGGGTTGTACTTTTACTTAGGGCCTCTTTCTGGGGGGAGGAGTTATCGCTCATAGATGTTTGCTTAAAACAGAGAACATGCCCTACTGCATCAAAGAAGGAAAATAAGGTCTAGTTCCTAGAGAACAGGCACATGATCTTCCAAAGGAACCCTAATGGTTCCTAGGTGAGAGAGTCATTCTGCCAAGGTCAGGGGACAGAGTCAGTGACCCTCCTGCCCTGATCAGTCAGCAGTAAAAAGGTCTAACCAGGTGAATGGGACAGGTAGTAAGTAGCTTCCAGTTAGAATCTCTAGCTCAGGAATGTCTGTGTTTGAGTAAGCTGGAGCTGGAGCGAGAGGATACAGTCTGGAGAAAGTGACTAAGAATTGGCAAGTGTCAAAAAGATACAGGTTTCCTCCAGGGGACCCACAGAAAGGGGGCACCACCAGTTAAGGGTGGCCCTGTGCTTTTCTTTGAGAAGAGAATACACTGAGTGGGTTCTGCAGTTTTCATAGAACAAGTGGAATGATACTGAACAGTGGAAAGTTAATTCAGAGTTTCTGTCCATGGTTCAGAAAACACTGATAGAACACCTGTGTACAAGACAAAGCGACAGTGCTGAAAAAAAATCAAGCTGTCTAAGATGTGATCTTGACCGGAAGGAGCCATCTAGCAGTGGCCATCAGACCCCTGCACACCATGGAGTGCTGTGTCCTCGGGCCACTTGGAGGGAAGGATGGCTTTCTGGCTGGCATGATCAGGGAAGGCATTCTCGATCCTCTCCTCTTGGTACTCAGCATGTCCTCTGTACCTCTAGGTTACTGCTTAGCCTGGCCCAGTCCAGGCACTTGCTTATCTTCCTTATCTTTCTTGGTGTGTGAGAAATGGAAGTCTGAGAGGATAAGATCCTGCCTCACAGGTGCCTAATGTGTGTGGAATTGATGTGTCCTGGGAGTGTCATTCCCTCTTGGTTCAGAAAGGTGGAAAAAATTGGGGGAAAGGAGAGCTAAGATGGGGTGGTAGGGGTATGGTGTTTTAGTCAGAAGGTGGGAGCAAAGTTACACCAACAAGCAGTTTTAGTACACGGTTTAATCCAGATGATAGAAAGAGCACCAACACTACCTCAAGAAGGTAGGTGGAAGGGGTGCCTGGGTAGCTCAGTCATTAAGCGTCTGCCTTTGGCTCAGGTCATGATCACTGGGTCCTGGGATCGAGCCTCGCATCGGGCTCCCTGCTCCACAGGAAGCCTGCTTCTCCCTCTCCCACTCCCCCTGCTTGTGTTCCCTCTCTCGCTGTGTCTCTGTCAAATAAATAAAATCCTAAAAAGAAAAAGGAAGGTAGCTGGAAGCCCTCGGCCAAACAGGTGAGTCTGCAGAATTGGGAAGCTTAAATCTTTCCCTATTATTAGTCAAGCTCAACCAGGGCGTATGAAAAAATAATGAATAACTAGAGGGTCTTCACTTTCTGAAATTAGAAAGATCAAGTAAACTCAGCAGCCCCCAGCAGCCCCCTCCCCCACCCCCAAACAGTGAAGTTGAATGTCAAAAACATACAGAAAGCTTTTGGATATCTTCTTTAAGTGCGTCTTTGGTATTTTGGTCTATAAGCAATCAAGATGGAGAGGGTTACCATCCCAAAGAAAAAAGCTTGTAGGAACCACAGTAGTTGAGCCTGACCATCCATGATGCCTTTAGACTTACACAAAACCATGGTCACAAGGATTCTCCCACGTGAATCAGCCAGGCAAGCCAGTGGCCACTGTGTAGGAGGGTGTGATATGGTCCACCAAGTCCTGAGTGAAGAGGCCCAGGGGCCCCAGGCTCTGATAAGGGATACTCTGAGGCCAGAAGACAACCCACAAGAAATAGCCCAGCGCCAGGACAGTGACCAGAGAGAGCAAACGTCTGGCCGGACAGAAATAGGCGGAAGAAGCCTCGGACTTCATCTTCACCATCTTGAAAGATCTACACACTGAGCCTTGGGATGGGGAACCGTCTCTATCCCGCCCCCGCCCCACACCAAGAAGGCCTGGGTAACCGGTTTCTCAGGACTGCAGGGCAGACAAGTGTGCCTGTCTTCTTCTGAAAAAAAGTTCTGACGGACCATGTCTGCCTCAGGCCTCATCAGCAGCAATTACAACAACCTTGAAAGTTGACACAACTGTGTCCTTTTTCTTGGTTTTGATTTCTCCTATCTATATTTTAACATTACTTTGTTGGGTGTTTGTGTAAGCAGCCCTAAAGTCCCTTGTGGATAAAGTCAGGGTACATGAAAAGGTTGCATGAAAATACTAATAAAAAGAAAATCCTCACTTAAAAGTATTAGTAAATATTAAATACCTAATGCACCATAAAAATTACTTCTTCAATGTTTTTTTCTTATTTTAATAAAGGAAATAGAATACTAATGCTTAAAAATGAATAAAATTCATATGTATGTGTAATGCATATGTACAATTTACATGTATATGTATAATTTATAAATGACAAAACCTTTCTAACCTAAACTTATCACCAGATTACATCCTGCTTTTGGGAGAGCCACTAGAGGACTCTCTTATTCAGACATCAAAGTAATAACGTGTAAGGTTTTAAAACTTCAAATTATTGTATTATTAGAACCTCATAATTCTCAGATTTAGCAATTTTCAAAAAAAAAAGCTTCTTGCTTTTTCTCAGTCCAAGGCCAATATAAAAATAAAATGATAACCAAATTGTGGTAATACTGAGGATAAAAAGATCTAGAAAATGAACAATCTACATTCTTATTTACTACATCCAAAAATATTTGTCAGTTTAATTTCATTACCATCTGTCAGTGTTTCTGGAGAAGAACTAGATGATGCTTGAAATGCTTTTAGAAATGGGTGGTCCATGGCTGTAACTGGAGAGTCTAAAAATTCAATTGAAGGTGCACCTAAGAACAAAATATATGAAGAATGAAAATTAAATCTCCATTTGTTGGGATACAAAAAAGTTATTTCAATGCAAAATAAATTAGAACCTCAGAAGAATAATTAGAAAAAACCTTTCTATAAAAAAGAAATTTTTATTTAGATTTTATCTGCCATATAAAGTAAAGGGAATTAGGTAAAAGTATGTTTGTATTTCTCAGAGATATTTTTCACAGAAAAAAAAGTTATGCATGAATGTAACTATGGCAAAGAGGTACAAAACCTTAATATAGTCACAAAAATATTATCAAAAGCAAGACATTCATGACAAAGAACCTATAGTTGAAGAGGGCAGAATAACTGTATTTTTTACTCTGTTCCTCACTGGGAAATCATCTCAAAACAAAGTCTGAAAAATAAAGAAAAACTCAATGAAATGAGGAAATATCCACAACCCCACACCACAAAATTACAAAGACCAACTGCTAAATACATTGACTTTTAGACCAAAAGGAAGGAAGCTATGGAGAAAATTTATAAGTGCTCTATCTTCTTCACAAACCACCACCTCCCCTACATCCCTCTCCCATAGAGCAGATAGAGGGAAGGAAATAAACTTTTAAATCCTATTTGGTTTTTAAAATGAGTCCTTCCTTATAACCTAAACAGTGTGGGACAATTGCTCATTCTTTCAGTTTCCTGCCCCCTCCTTCCCCAGCTCCTCTCTGGTGTGGCTGGACAGAATATAAGAGAAGGCGCTCGGGGCCACCGAGGTCCTTGTGCTATCCTCTGGTTGCTGCATGCACTGCTGATCTCAAACGCTCAAGGCTGCTAAGTGGTGATTTAGTCTCGCAGCTTGGTAGGGCCTCACACTTGTTCTCACTGCAAGTACGGACCCCTTGATGCCTGCCACTTCCTCTACGAATCCCCCAGAGCTCAGAGGACCCACTTCTAGCTCTGCTCGGGATCCCCTTGCTATGACAAAAGTCATGGCAGGTCCACTGCCTAACGGCTCAGCTGCCTTCCAACCACCCACCCACTAGGAGCTGAGCATTATGGACTCCTTCTGCATCATAAAGGAACCAAATCAGCAAGTTGTCACCTCTGTCCAGGACTCTACATGGCTGATAGAACAGATGTCCCTCTGCCCCAGGCTCCCCTACAGCAGAAATCAAGACAAAGACATCTTGTTTCCTCTCCTCACTCTCACCTTCCCTCACCCCACCTTCCTTCAGGGGCCAAAAGCGGGAGGTTTTCTCTCTTTGTTATAAAGATGCCTAAGTGATAAAATACTAGAAGGCACAAAAAGGCAAAGATGCGAGCTATCCCCACTATTACTTAGCACTGTTCTGCAAGTACGAGCCCTGGTAATTAGTCAAGCGTAAGAGCCAGAAATACTGGAAAAGGCAAAAATACTGT